CTGAATCAGATGGTGGAAGGACGAGTAGAAATTATTTTCTGATTTATTTTCAAATTTGTTTCTCACAGTTTTAGCTGATTCTCGCAGCACTGAGTTCTATTGATTAATCTGAGAGCTACCGTGGAGATATTCAGTTCACACGAGGCCAATGTGTGCACACAGTGTAGTCAAGACATAGTCATGGTTTTAAAACATGAAGGAGAACATTTTGCCTGAGTTTTACTGGAAGAAAGAGAAGGACATTTAAAAAAGAATCAACTGTGTTTCTAACAAAAGGTTGTGTGAATAAATCTGAGTCATTTCAGAGATGTGGAATTATTTTTGCATACAGATGTTAAAATAAAAGCTGCTGAAATAGATTCATTTAAATTTTTCATCACTCCATCTTATGGAACACCTCTTCTCTGACTTTTCCTTGAATCCCGTTGCTTTACGTTTGTACTTGCAGGACTGTGATGCAGTATTGTTGCACTGTTCACTTGCATAAAAGATCTGAGCTCATGCATTAACATAAGACGAGTTTCCACAGGGAGCGTTATTGTGCATATACATTAACTACAGATGGGCTTTTCTTCGATTACGTCTCTGCTGATTGCATAAAGATGTTCACCCTCTGCTGCTGCTCGTCCTGTACTACAGGAGAACCCCTCCCATCTTTTTTCAATGTTCTGGGACCTCTGGGAAGTTGCAGTTCACATCCGTACCACACAGTGGCGCTAGTTTCATTTATTACTGATTAGAAATGTGAGATATTCAGAGCAGCTGCTACACATCAGCACTTCCCTGAAAAAGGGAGAGTCTCAGACAAACCTTTAATGTGTCTCTGTGCAGAAATAACTAAATGACAAGTCGGAGTGAGACGATGAATCTGCTGCATTTTATTCAGTAAGCAGATAACAAATCACGCCCGTGTTCCAGCTAGGACTCTGCAATGGCAGAAAACCACTGTTTATCAGCTATTGTCTGTCTCTGTCGAGTGTGTCTTCTCCCTTCTGTCAAAACAGACAGTTGAAGTTTTTGAACTTGAGCTGTTTGACACGAGGGAATTGATGCATTCATCGTCTATTTATAACACAGACAGCAGGTGTGCCGTTACACAGAGGCAAAGTGATTGGTCGGGATCCTCAGAGGATGCTTTGTGCTTGTGTAAATACACAACACACACACACACACACACACACACACACAGGGAACATACTTGCATCTGCACTATGAAAACATGCATGCACACAAACATGCACACTGATCTATAGAGCGAGTGTAGGTGTGTTCATGCCAGCATGTATATACATGAAGGCAAATGTATTTATATGCATGTGCATGAATGCCTATACATTTAGACAGTAAGAGATTTGCAGCTCGCTCCTGGCACCTACTCAGATACACAAACACTCTTCTCCATTCAAACAACTCAAACACATCTCCAAGACGCTGTTCACAAAATTAGCGTCTTCTCCCTGGAGGGCAAAGCAGATTCACACCCACTTCCACATCCACCGAGCAACACTTCACTCATGTGAGCTGCACTACTGAACGAATCACCAGATAGGATCCAAACACAAATGTTCCACAACAGCCCTTCAAACGCCATGTAATCAGCTACCTGTGGCCACGTTTGATGCTTACAGGAGTGAGGCCAGAATAGTGGCAGCAGGTCGCACCAGAAAGAGTTCCCGTTAAGTCAGAAGCACCCCTACCTACAGAGGTTTAACGCTTTTAAAGCCCTATTTGCACGGTGTTAGTATTACCTCAGGACCAGTGGTGATTTGTAATAATTGCAGAGGGTGTTTGTGATCTTAATCCTGTACGAACGTGCCATGTCTGTAATATCCATCCATCCATCATCTCTACACCTTAATCCTCACTAGGGTCGCAGGGGGGCTGGAGTCTATCCCAGCTGACTCAGGGTGAAGGCAGGGGACACCCTGGACAGGTCGCCAGTCTATTGCAGGGCTACACTTAGAGACTGCCTGTAATATGTGAAGTAAAAATTTCAATTTACCAACCATAATCGCACCGACGTCCTGTGATAATACTAGTCCTGTGCGAACCTGCATCTCCGTGATTGGGGGGTATTTTAGTTGTTGTTCTTTTTATTGCGCGCCTTTTTCTGCCTCTTTCTATGACTTACCTAAAACTCACGTCAAAATAGGGACACTTAATCTGCTCAGAACTGGTCCTCTTGTAATTTTTTTTTTTTCTATATTTTTTTTGGCTTTTGCCTTTATTTAGTGCAGTAGAGGGAGACAGGAAAGGGGGGAGAAGAATGGGGACACACCTGCAGCAAAGGGTCGTGAGCGGGATTCAAACCCACGACCGCTGCATCGGGGAACTACAGCCCCTGTTCATGGGCCGCCCGCTCTACCAGGTGAGCTATAGGGGGGCCCCTCTTGTTATTTTTTGATAATTTTTTGATAGTACCTTCGTTTTAGATAGTCCAACCTTTCTCTCTCTGAAGTCCTTTATCCATCGGGCACCGGAGCAGGAGTTCCCTGTGAATGTCCTCCCAGACATCATGTCATCAAACAGCCTCTCGTACCGCGACTCACCCCACACGGCAATTAAATGCAACGTTTCTTTGCGTGTAGCAGCCATTTTGCACATGGATGACAACAGCGACTGTGGCGACGTGCACAGATTTGACATCATATCTGGGCTGTAATGTCAGTAAATTCAAGTAAGATACAGACTTTGCTTATCCTGTGCAAGAAACACAGACGTGGGGATGGAAATTCACAAATGACCAGAGATCCCCAGGTGATTCTAATCCCGTGTGAATAGTACATAAGATCCTAAATTGTTGCCCTTTTCAGCAATTAAATGAAAGTCTTACATGTCTTTCAGCTCAAAAATAGTTTATTTCCATGACTGTATATATACAGACTTTGATTCAGCGTATGTAGCTTTGAACCCTTCAGGAAGAAAACTCTCTCTGTATCTGTGATTGTCAGTGTGGAGCAGAACTGAACCACACTGCAGGTCCACACTACGACCAGGACCTCTTACTGCCTCAGCTCTCTCTTCAGAGTTCTTCAAATGTGTCAGACAACATTACGGTTGTAAGATCAGTTCTAAACATGCTGTCTTAATGGACTGCATTTCTATTTCACCCTGATCCAGTTGTCTGACAGCAGGAACAGGAGAATGCATAAATGAGAACAGCTTTGTTGGGAATTCAGTTGTGTTAAAATGCAGTCGATGTGAGCACAGTGAGACACACACAGTCCTTGTTTATTGGTTTAAATTAAAGTTTCCACTATGTCTGAATGATTTACAGTTTCCACAGACCTGTGGGCAAGAGCATCACAGCTAACGAACATGGTGACACTGCCGTCAATAATGAAAGTAACGCAGTGGGTGTTCAGCTCCTCACTGCTGAGAATGCATTAAAAACTCTTGCCTTCGCTCTCACAGCCAGCAGCAGAACATTTGGTGAGTTTTTTTTCTTGTGACTCAGATGTTTTAGAGTCAACAGCAGCAGCTCTGGACAGTAAACATACCTGGTGGACGGAGAAGCAGTGGATCACCCGGAAACAGTGAGGGAGCAGGATTATGCAAAGCTGAGCCTGTTGGTTCCTTTGCTGGATTGTAGCACTTCAGTGGGATTCTCACTGACCCGTAAAGCTGGAAGAATATCTAGAACCATCACTGAGGAATAGCAGAACTGCATGTCTCCATATCTTCACAGCTTTTACTTTACACCTACAACCGGCACAAAGCAGCATTAATAAGTATTTCCACCGTGTGGGACCTTTAATGAGAGACAAAAGAGCGAGGAGCATGGTTTTGTTTGCATTTGCTTGGTGTCGTGGTTTTTTTGCACCAGCCTCTAGTGAGACTGAACATGAACTGCTGCAACCTCAAACAGGAAGCACACCCGCCACAGTGCTTCAAAATGTGAAATGATGACGGAGGATCAGACTGGTTGCAGGAAGGCAAGTTCTAGAAATCAAATTATGATAAAGATATTTCATTGGTCACATTTTGGCTGCCCACCATCGCCACAGCTCTAAATCTGAATTGACGAGCTTGTGGCAGGATGTCGTGACAGGGCAGAAGTGTCACCTCTGTGCATCAGAGCAAAGCATCGGCCTCACTGCCAACCAATATCTACCATCTGTTCCCACTCCAAGTGGATCAATTTGTGACATGTGTTATGAAGCCTGGACAGACATGTGCAGATTTTTTGAAGAAACAAGACTAACCTTTTGATACGCAGCAAAATATCTGTGATGTGCTCGATTTCAAGGAGGCCTTCAGCTCGTCTTTAGTGGACAGAGGTCTCCTCAGTCTTCCTGAAAAGCTACTGTGAGGACCCATCTGTTGATTTGAGGCACTGCTCCGTTTTCTGAAACAGTTTACTTCTACACCCGCTAAACAGTTTTTGCTCACTCGGCTTGAGTTGGTGTGTTGTCGTTAGTTCTGAGCAAAGTGTCTGAGGGATTTTTTGTTAACAGATGATGTGCTGATGAGTAAATCCAGAACACATCGACTGACCCAGTTTGATGTTATTGTTTTAAACTCTTCGCTGTGTAACTTAGGAGTCTAGTGCTAAACATTGAATATGAAGAAAATAGAAAGAACCATTTGGAGCGACAGAGGCCAGAAATACACATTTAATTCTTCTGAATATCTTCTCGTGTTTGAATAAACTTCACCGAAGACTTTTCAGTTCAGAGTTCAGCGATTTTAATTTATAGTACCTTTGCTAAGTGATAAAATGTTGCTCCACAACAGAAGAACTAATATTTATGCACCTGATATGCATATGCAGGCAGAATAGTTTCCTCCGTGGTTGTCCAGTGGATGGTGCTGTTGACTGGTACAAGGATTTGCACTCCTGCAAGGACATTTAAATGAAGGCACCTTTGACTCAGCGATGTACAGAAAAGCGGTAAATATTTAGTGAAACTCTAATGAATGAAAACCCCTATAGGGCACCTAATAAAGGAGGTACAGCTAAACCACAAAAGTACAAAAACCTCACAGACACACACATGTTGTCTTTGTGGATGCTTTATTGCTAGATATTATAATAAACAGAAAAGAAGCATTAAAAAGATTACATTTATGAATTCATGAACATGTATGTGATTATTTAAAGAAAGAATTCTACAAACTACAAGCAAAAAAATATCCTGATCCTCTTCTTGCCTCATCTCAAGTCAACACCAGCTCTCCTCAACCTGACTGACGGACTGATGCAGAATAATTCATCCTCAGCTTTTCAGCAAGGATCCCGTTTCTGGTGTGGAAGATCTCAGCCAAAGCCGGACTCATGGGCGAGGAAGCGTACTCCTGACACTGGCCACCACTAAGACTTGGCGCACACTCGACTACATAGGAAAAGAAGAAGGTGCCATGTTTAAACATGCAGCTGTCTGTCACCTTCCCACTGCGCAGATCAAATGAACAGCTACCCAGCAGATCGCTGTTCCAGCGGGTGTCTTCATCATAAACGTTGAACGTAAGTTTGTTCACCATGTTCATCTTGATCGGTCCAAACTCAAACCTTTCTGACCATTTAGGGTTGTCGTTGTTACTAATGATGGCCGTGCGCTTTATCTTAGCTTCATATTTAACCTCCACTGAACCGTCCGTCCTGCTCCACTTGTCACCATACAGACCTCGAGCATAAAGCTTGAATACTTTGAGTGTTGCGAGACCTTTCTCAGCAGGGCAGCAGTTTGACCTGATGTTCTGGTTACCGTTGCAGACACAAGCACAAGGATCCCTCTTGCTGGATCTGTGCCCGATCGAACAGGATTCAGCACATTTTTTCACCACTGCATTTTTCTTGATGTACTGCTCCACCTCTCGCTTCAGTCCGGCGCTGGCAGGATGGCCACTTGGCAGGATGATGTGCAGGGGCTTTAGGTTGTACTGGACGATGTCGGGCGTGGTTTTCAGCGAGCTGAGCCAGCTGTTGTAGACAGAGGGGTTCGACTGGCCTTGAAAGAGGATGTCCACACCGTCAATGTTTCCTCCAGTCACCTCTGTCTCGCGCTCATTAAATGTGCTGCTGAAACTTTGACCAGAACCCAGCTTCTTCTTGTCTGCCTCACAGTGCTTCGTCATGGCTTTAATACTTGCAGTCTGTGCAAAGCTGGCCGAGGCCTCCACTGACAGACAGTCGCTGACCTCCGTCGCCGTCAGTCCACTCATGGTTGCCTCACAGGTCTTGACAGAAGTGAGCGCTTTTATTTCTCCTCCGAGAGACACTTGTGTGATGTAATGTGTACCATAAGTGTCAATCAGGTTACGGTATGCGACCCCAGTTTTAGAGGTGTAGGGGGGAAGAGAGTTCACAGCTAGTTCAAATTCATGACTCAAAGGAGGATTTGTCGCCAGTCTATAGCTGTGGAGCACAGAAAGCATATAAATAAGTTAGCGTTAGGCCTGTGAAACAAAGCCTTCCAGTGAACAAACTACATAAAATGAGACCAAATGACAGAAATGAAACACAAAACAACAGAAATGTGACAAAATGCCACAAGTAAGACACAAAAGGAGACACAAAAGAGACAGAGCATGAAAAAAAGACACAAATGAGAAGGACACAAAACAAAAATGAGACCAAAAAATACGAGACACAACACGACAGAAAGGAGACAGACAGACACAAAGCTGCAGAAACCAGACTCACAGTGATAACAGCCAGATGCAAAACAGCACAAATGAAACACGAGCTGGCATGATCAAGACACAAACTACAGCTACTGTTAATGTTGATTTCAGTATAATTACAGTATAATTATTGTAAAGTCTACTTACAGTAACAAACAGTAAACCTCCTGTTCTGTATTAGAGTGCTGTGATCAGTTATACAGTAATTGACTGTTGAGGTAAATTATAATTGTAACGATGTAAAGATTCAGTATTTTACTGTGCTCTTCCAGGAAAACTTGTTATGCTGACAAATATGTGTCCACATACTCACCCGTAGAATTTGCAGTGGATGGAATGGCGAAAAAAGTTGTAGCGGTCTTTTTTTGACTTATTCATGGCAAATTGCGATGCTCTGGAGTGGGAACCCCCAAAACCAACCCCTACGTTGACAGACGGGCTTACAGGGATGTCGAGGCCGACCGACCAGTCATTGGACACAGACGACGTGGAATCGTTGACAAGACTTTCGGCAGAATCGTACTGGATGCTCGAGACCTTCAGGCTGCATTTGGGGAGGTTTCTCCAGTCCACCACAGCGACCGGGACCTTCTGCTTCTCTCTGTTCATGTAGCTGTTTGAGTACAGCCTGCAGGTGCCATTGCCGAGATCCCAGGTTTCGGTGTCGATGACATAGGCGCCTTTCCTCTCCATGGTGACGATGTCGAAGCCTTCTCCACCGAGGTTGTAACCAGGGACAAAGTGAGCCTGTTTACACTGCTGCGGCGTCCCCATGAAGCTTGAATTCCACGTAAGACACAGAGGACTAGACGTCCAGCACAGGAGCAGGAGGTGCCACAGCTTTGCCATCTGTATGGAAGGGTTAAACAGTGGACAAAAACACCAAGTGAACCAATGTAAACTTTAAACACACCGTGAGGAACTGGAAGAATTTAATGTGAGCAATAATTCAGAGTATCTGTTGCACACAAGGGAGGACTGAGAGGCCGAACCTTGGCTGTAGACAGCAAGCTCTGTTGAGTAGCTGGCAATGCCTGATCAATAATATTGCCTTGACTTAGGGGTGGAGCTTTAATTTAAGATGCGATTCTCACAGATCTGATCTCAGCCATCTACATTTAACCACTTCTCTGACGCCCGCAATGACAATGTGAGTCATTTTTATCTTCCTTTACCCATGACCACTTGAGAAACTGTGGTGACACCTCAACCCATTTCAGCAACAGAACAAAACTGATATATCCTAAGACATGAAAGGCAAACAACTATCAGTTACAATTTCTGAATTACAAATGTAACGGCTAATGTAAGGACGGCTAATTGAAATTACTTTTTTAGGGATGGATTTTTATCTGTTTTATTGATAACAGTGTTTTTATGAATTTGTTACATTTTTAAAAATCCTTTAACAGCAAAAGTAATTAGCTGTAGTGCCATCACCGAATAGTAAACCCAAACCTTTATGTCAAATCTAAATGCTCTTGTTTCCTGTCAATGCTTGGCTGAGGCTCAAATGAGTCATGCTAATGGTCTGATGACCCTGAAAACTGCTTTCTTGTTATGATATGTTCTGTTGTATCACTCATCTAATAGGGACATACAAATCTGCAGTGTAGGTCTCTGCCTCCCTTTTGAGGACACAAAACCAGTTCCCATAACATAAATCACTCTGTTTGAGGGTGAAGACCTGCTTTAAGGTTAGAAGAAGAGATTTTAGGTCCCCAGAAGTGGTGGAAACCACTATGACTATGTTTGTGTGTCGTACGGAGAGTCTGCAATTGGCAGTGTTGTTTGTGTATTTTATTAACACAAGAGGTGTCACAGTATACTGGTGTTGACAATAACCATGATATTTACAACATGAAATACTGCTTTATGCTAATATTACACATATGATAGCATCAGAAATATTCAAGCGCCAGTAACTATCGGGTTGACACTCCAACATCTGAACAACATTCATACTATTGTGGTTACAGACTCTTTGCATTTCTCTGCACTCATATGTTAAATTCTCTTTGCCATGATATTCATGTCGTAAAACTCTCCTGTTGTGACAGTCCATCCGTCTATTTTCTTCTGCTTCCCAAGGGTTAGGTTGCAGGGGAAGCCAGGAAGTCATTCCAGATGTCCCTCTCCTCTAGCAGCACTTTCCAGTTCCTCCTGGAGGATCCCGAGGCATTCCCAGGCCTGATGAAATATCTCATCCCTCCAGCGAGTTCTGGGTGTATCCTGGCATCTCCTCCCAGATAAATGTGCTCATAGAACCTCCAAAGGAAGTTGCCCAGGAGGCATCCGAATCAAACATCCGAACCACCTCAACTGGCTCTTCTTGACACGAAGGAGGAAAGTCATTTTGGCTGCTTATGCCCATGATCCCGTTCTTTTGGTCACTTCCCAGAGCTCATGACCACAGATGAGGGTTGAATTGTAGACTGACTTGGAAAATCAAGACTGTCAAACTTCTGACTCAGCTCTTTCTTCATTCCAACAGTCTGATACGTCCACATTACTGCTGATGCTGCGCCAAGAACAGGATCCCGAGGTACTTAAACACTGTCCCCAATATCCACACGACACTGAAGAGACGTGGGCCAAGACAGTCCCACAATGTCCTGAGCCTTCACTCTCTCTGGGCAATTCTTGTCCACACCCGGTGCCTTGCCACCGAAGAGTTTCTTGACTCCCTTGGTGACCTCTACCATCAATATGGGTGAAGCTTCCCCAAGTCCTCAGGCTCTAGAAGCTGCAATGTGAGTCTTATCCTTTAAGTTGAGGAGCAAAGTTCACAACCATGCAAACCTTCATTCATCTGTCAAGCCCAGCTGACCCATCATCTCCAGTTTACTTTAGCGTTCTTGATTTGCCCTCCAGCCTGTTTCATCACTGATGACCTCAGCCCTGATTCTCTGTGTATCCTTATTCCAGTAATGTTTTCTTTCTGTTTCAATTTTTTTAAAAATCAACAAAAAAACACCTGTTGATTGAACAGACGTCCTTCCTGATGATTGTGCTAAACACTTAAACATGAAGCAGAAATAATGACTGTCACAGTAACTGGTCGTCTCAGCTTCCTGTGTTACAATGTGCAGCTTTGTCCTCCTTTCGTCCTACAGGTTTGCAGATGCATCCCACCGAAAAACACATTTTTACACGGACAGATTTGTGCAATAACAAACTAAATCTTGTTCGAAGATATCATGACAAGAAGCAACTGTTTTAGCTGTTGTTTCGTCTAAGATTAACCTTTAAGCAGCACAAGGTGACTGAAGGCACAGTTTTGAACAGCACATTGTCCTGTTCTCACACCACATAAACCAGAATGTCACACATGTTGCGTTATTGTGTTCATGTCACATGTTCACATACTCTGTTTCACAAGTGGTTTTACTCATTCGTGTAAATGTTTTCAGTGTTATGCTGTCATAGGTTCAGTTGAAGTTTTTTGTTCACAAAAACAGGCCCGATAGCCAAAAACATGTCGGGTCACAGAACAAATGAAAGAGTCCAAAATCAGGCATTCAAGACAAGATAGGCAAACAGGGAGACTCCCACAGGCTGGGAGAACTGGGAGGGCAGCAGCGAAGCTGGAACACCTCCGGAGGCCGGTGGTGTCAAGTCAAGCCTTTTAGTGGCAAGGTGGGCGGCTGGTGGTAAAGGCAAGACCAGGCCAGATGTAGATAGGTCCCAACAGATCCCGGGAACACAGAACCTGGAGCTGGGGCGGCATCAGCAGACACAGACTCTGGACCAGGGACGCGTAAGCTGACCATGGCAGGGCCCTGGACATGGACTTGAGTGACTCAGGTGGATACTCCAAAGCAGAAGAGATGTCAGCGACCCTCTGAGACACAGGAAGAGACGAGGCGTTGTCGGGTGTGAGGCCATGAAGCGGTTTGGTCTGGGGGCTGGGCAGCGATGTGTGTTGGTTTGAGTTCTGAAGGTGTTAAATAAGACGAGGAGCCGCCTTTCCTCCACGAACTGACTGAGCCTGTGAGCCAATTAATTTGGGAATTTTGTGATTTTGTGTTGATCTCGAAGTTTAAATCGTATCCTTCTTGGTTAAGTGTAAGTGAGAGGAAAGCATTGCACGGGTCATTGTTACGCCCCGCTCTAGGGGAACCTTTGGCATAACTTGAGTTTTTGCTCCACCAGACGTCCCACTCCAAGAAAAGGCCAGCAACCAGAATGCCAAGTGCCAAAACCAGCAGTATCTTTTATTTTATGAGTACAGAGGGAGACATAAGCCAGCATAACAAACAGAAAACACTCTAAATTAACCCTAGCTTCCCTGTCAAAAAGGAAACGTAAAGAAAAGACAACAATCTTACCCACTTCCTAAGAAACAAAACAGGAGAAAAGGGGTTAAAAGAAAAAGGCCTCTCCCTCCTACTTCTGCTCTCTGGCTATTTACAATATCTACAAGTTCACAAAAGTCACAAAGTCCATAATGCACAGCTACTGACAGACTAGTGCTGCTGCTACAGCATCCTGCAGCACAGACACACTGGCAAGCTGGCATTCGTTGTGGTGGCAAGGCTGGAGAGGTGAGGAGGCCGAGTGCAGCTGGCGGGTTGTTCAAATAGATGATGGACCCGCCCCCTGACCAATCGCATGGCAGGAATCAGGCGAGGCAGCCAATCAGTGGTCACCACCTGCTTCTAATCTACTCATTCACAAACCACGAACACACACACACACACACACACACACACACACTGAGGAGAGACAGCAATGCAGCAACACACAAATACACATCCTACAAATGACCCACAGGGTCATAACAGTAACACATGACAGATGAACAAACTCCACTTTTATAATGTTAACTGATGATAAATGATGACTTTGTCTGTTTAGCACTTTTCAAAAACAAAGTGGGAAAGTGATTGAAATGAAATAAATGTCAAATCAGACATAATGAAAACAAATTCAGAGAAACTAATGAGCACGTAATACCATTCAGTGTAGACATCATAGTGATAGTCATCTCAGGAGGGATGAACTGAGCTTCCTGTGTCACATGATGAAACTGTGCTCTGCAAGTTTGCAGCTGCACCACTGACTCTGAGTGTGATGTGACAAATGTGTGACTGTGATGTGTACGTTTGCTTCGTGTTCGATTAGTTGTTCCATGTCAGCAGAGGAACATCGCACAATTCTTTTGTTTACTGTAATACTTACAGCAACTCTGTTACAGCAAATAAAATGCATAAACCACGAAAATGATATGAAAAACGTTTGTTCTTTATCTAGTTTTGCTCTCGTTCCACACTTTGCCTCATGTGGTCGAACTCTTTCCTTGGAAAGACGAAGCTTTATTTTTTCCAGGGTTCTTTGCATATTTCTAATAGTTCGACTTAAGGCGTCCCTGAATGTTACAAGTTGAATCAGGCCCTTTGTTGGAACAGAGTTTTCACACAGAGGCTGCTGAAGAAAATGAATTCCTGCTTCGAGTTTCATCTGCACCATCATGTTGTCCCAAACGCCACACAATGTGTGCTTTCCTTTCATTTCTGTCGGGTGTCTGTTCATCTTTAGTTAACCAGTTATTTTATTCATCTTGTTGATCAAACCAACCCTGTTTGATTCTGTTGGAATCAGTCAGCGCGATAATGGCCAAGTGTTTGTGTGTGTGAATGTAAAACCACGTTACCCTCAACCGCAATGATCGGCTTAGAGTCACACAAAAGTCACTGTGAAAACAAAAGTGTGCGTACTACTCAGTGTTAAGCTCTGTATTTTGTTGTTTTATTTTGTATTCCAGAGACTCCAAGAAGGCCGGATCTTCTGAGCTTCTGTTCGGCGCCTAAAACACAAACAACAGTCAGAGTTTTTCCTGATGCAACATGCAGCTGCACAGAGGCGACCTTTTCACTGTCTGGGAAAAACTCCAGCCAAGTTGTGCTCGGCCGGGGGCTGGTGAGTATCCCCACACCTGCCGGACTGCTTTCATCCTTCTGGAAAAGGAGAGAGTCCAACAGCTTGTCCAGGAGTTTGGTTCTAGAACCTTTTCGT